ACCTTGGGCAAGCCGTAGTTCTGCCAGAGCTGTTCTCTCAAGAACAGTTCTGGAAAGAGCTCTCTCAGCCCCACCTACCTCACAGGGTGTCTGTTGTGGGGAGGGGAAGGGAAAGGAGTTTGTAAGCCGCTCTGAGACGCCGAGTGAAGGGCGGGGCATAAATCCAATCTCCAGTCTCCTCGTCCTCCTCTTCCTCCTCTTCCTCCTCGTCCTCCTCGTCCTCCTCCTCCTCTTCTTCTTCTTCCATTTCGTACAACCAATAGTCTATAAAGGGGGACTTGATCAGACCAGATAGTAGGTGATGTGAAAGACTTCAGCCCGAGACCCTGGAGAACTGCTTCCAAGCCAGTTTGGTGTAGCGGTTAAGTGCGCGGACTCTAATCTGGGAGAACCGAGTTTGATTCCCCACTTCTCTACTTGCATCTGCTGGATGACCTTGGGCAAGCCGTAGTTCTGTCAGAGCTGTCCTTGAAAAAGAGCCGTTTCTGTCAAGAGCTCTCTCAGCCCCGCCTACCTCCCAGGGTGTCTGTTGTGGGGAAGGGAAGGGAGAGGAGTTTGTAAGCCGCTCTGAGACACCTTTGGGTAGTGAAGGGCGGGGTATAAATCCAATCTCTTCTTCTTCTTCTTCTTCTTCTTCCTCTTCGTTGTTGTCTGAAAATTCCTGGAGATTTGCCGGTGGTGCAAATCCAGCTCACGCCCTTTTGTCTTAGCTCAGTGAAAAATACGCAGACAGAGAGTGATTTCAGCTTAGCATACTTTATTCGATCAGGAACAAGACGACTATGGCCGGCTCGCAGGCCGGCTTATATTCCCTGTGAAACCGCCACCCATAACACCCCTCCACTTCCCAATAGGTTATTTACAGTGGCCGAGCGTTCCATGGGCTCTCGGCCGGGAACCTAGCCCCCTGATTGGCGTGGGCTAGGATCCGCATAGTCCATTGTCTCTTTGAGCGAAGCTCGACGTTTGCGCTTGACCGCGTGGAGCCCAAGCTGGCCACGCGGTCTGAACTGGGTATATTACACTCAGGAAGGATGGCTCCGGAGCAAACCAAATTCACGCAGCAGCCCAATCGGTCGCTCACAACTTTAATGCCGGTAGCTCAGAAAGTAGAATTTCTGCTCGCAAGACTCCACAGCTTAGAGGGAGCATTGCTCAGAAGCTTTCAGAGCTGCAGGCTCCCTGGCAGGTGGGAGGCAGCGCCCCTACGAGAGGGCGCAGTGGAGGAGGGACAGTAACGGCTTTCTCGGGGGGGGGAGATGGGGGGGAGGAGAGCCATGGTCACTGGTGAATCCCCTCATGAGAGGCAGGTGGCCCAGATGAGGGGGGATTTTTTGGTTGGCATTTAGGGGGGTTTCCTTTGGGGAGATTTCCAACTTTTATTTTTGGAGTGCTGCTATGAATGTACGGTGAGTCCCCGGGAGAGCCTTGCGCGCTTCGAATAACGACTCGCTGGTAGTCCCCAGCCCTAGGGATGTCTAGCTGTCCTCGGCCAGGGCCAGGGCCTTCTCAGTGCTGACCCCGACCTGGTGTGACTCTCTGCCAAACGACATCAGGGCCCTGCTGGATCTTATGCAATCCCTCAGGGCCTGTAAGGTAGCAACGGTCCGCCAGGCTTTTGGCTGAAGGCAGCAAGGGTTACCTCATTGGCTGGCACCCTGCCTCCCCCCCAGGGGTCATTTTGTAGAAAAAGAGGTGCAGGAGCTCATTGGCATAACTCATTAGCATGACTCATTTGCATATGCCACACCCCCTGACATCACCGGAAGTGTGTCAGAAGGCAACACCCACCACTCAGGCTCCACTGGACTGTTTTGGATTGCTAGCTATTGGGGGGGGGGGGGGGGAAACGACCAGCTCCG